CACACACACACACACACACACACACACAAACACACATGTATACATGGCCTTGTTAATTTGCCACCTGCATACTGTAGGGGAGAGTTCACAGTGAAACTTTGCATGAGGTAGATCGATCCAAATCGGAAGTACTCTCGCTAAATGTAATTATATTAACAATGCTGCTCATTCCACCTCAGATGATACATTGTAAATACGTCTATGTGATTGTTTTATGTTGTCTTTGGGGTCAGAAGTTTTCTGTCTAGGCTATACCAAGTTGATCCATGTGGAACCTAAATGCAAGGTGAACTGAATCTACCACTGGCTTATATTGATCACTTAAATGCATGCGCGTGCACACACACAAACACACACACACACTCTCTCTCTCTCTCTCTCTCTCTCTCGGACATCTGGAATACCTCCTAACTGACACAAGATCTCAATGCTTTACAGTATAGAAAAGATCTATTCCAATAGCTAGAACATATAATTATACCATAACTGTCTGTAAACAGGTGCTTTCCCTGTCCTTTTCAGCCTCCATGAAGAGATCATTGACCTGTACCAATACATGTTGCCGCGCAGGGAGGAGCACTACATGCGCCAGGACGTCGTACGCAGGATAGAAAAGGTTATCAAGGATTTGTGGCCACAGGCAAAGGTGAGGTGGACTTTTATTGATTATGTGATTGTTTTGTTGATTGATTGATTGATTGATTATAATTGGAAGAGTTGATCTGGGACAAACAGAGCCCGTCTTCTGGAAGACAGTCAGAATTTTTCAAATTTACATTGACATGCATCGAAATTTCTGTGTCGAAAGAGGGTCAACAATGGAAAATGGAAAAACAAAGATAGTTTGGAAGATTGTCATAAAATATAGCTTTGGATCCTCACCTGTTGAATTTGGTGTGGCACTTATAACACTTGTAAACTACAGTGTGAGTGCTTCTGAAGAACTTTTCTCCCTCATTTGCAAGGATTTGTAATGACAATAAAGGTTGCTGCAGTGACCAGGGAATCAAAAAAATAAACTATATATACAGTTCATGCCCAAAACTTTCAAAGTTACAGTTACTAGCTCTTTAAGCAATCAGGGCCTAAAACTTTAAAATTTCCACTTTTTTAAGAGCCCTGTGCCTGTTTAGATGGGCAGTTGCTTTGGGTTGGTGCCTGACACTACAAACTGATATAACGAAATTCTGAGGTCATTTAAGTGCAGAATATTGGACGATAAATTCTCCGTCTTGGTTGGGTTGTTACATGCAATATGACCATCACGTCAGTGAAGTATAATTATAAAAGAATTTGGAATGAATTAGACGACAGGAAAACCACCTTGTGTCATGTACATGTGCAAGGGTCTCTTAGGGGAGGGTATTTACTGGTACAAAACCATGGTTTCCAGGCACAATTTACTTGAAAAAAAAAACATTCAAGGATGCATATTTCACATATTTTTTTTTATGTAAAGTTTATTTTTAGATGTTAAGTGAATATTTGTGAATACAAATGAGAAGTAGGAATAGATGACAATTAAAAGAAAATGAGGCATTCTCTCTCTCTCTCTCTCTCTCCACCATAAGCCAAGTGAAGATATCTCTCTCACACATACACACACACACACATACACACGCACGCACGCACACACAGGCACACACACAGTTGGATTGTTCCTAGTATTAGATAATCAGACACTGTGGTGATTTGTAACCCAGGCTAGCTCTGTGGGTTAGCTCGTAGGAATTGTTATTGTTTATGTGATATTTTTGATGGTCAGGGGAGGGTCAACCTGTCATTGGTGGTGTTTGATATAACCAGGTCAGGGATCACAAATATTTCCCAGATTGTCCCATGTAGTATATGCTGGTAATGGTCTGATTGGTATGTTAATGGGGTCTTTGCTGAAACAAACAATTTGGACTTGCAGGAGGAAAGTTGGGGGGGAGATCTCTTGCACCTGTAAGTTTATAATGCAAAAATTTTAAAAATTAGTTTGGATTTTCATGAAACAAACTGTAACTAGTGCAATAAAGTGGTTTGTCCAGGTAGATATGATTGCCAATGCAGGACATTAATTCTGTGCTTTCCATAAATTTTTAATCTTTCCATCAACTTGTTAAATTCCCCTTGTTAATTCTCATCCTGTTCGTATTTACTAGTATCTAAATTGTCTTTCACCTATAATGACTAAATTTCAAATTTCAAAAGTCTGTACACAGAACTGAAGCATAAGGTTATATAAAGCAACATTCCTCCAGTCATTTTAATAATCTCCCTTGTACCATGGTAGAATTAACTCCAAAGATAGCTCCAGGTTTACATATTAAGGCCACAGTAAATATTATATGAGTGACTAAAGCGATGACATCTATAGTGGCTTGGGTTGTGAAGTTCATCTCTGCCCTGTGTGGTAATCAAACAATAATTTCAAACTGCTTGAATTAGTAATTTTCTCCAAAAATAGTCTGTTGAGGTATATAAATATTATTGAGTCAGAATTTTTAGTAGGCGGGACAGACGCTTAAGCCGGCTAAGCTGACAGTAATCTAGTGAGACTCCCCACAGGGATAGATCGATCTAAAATCTATGGGAATGGGGTCTAAGATAAAATAATCCAGAATGTAAGGTGGTTGAACATTTGAAGTAATTACCGTAATTCTCCATTCAGTGTGGGTAATCATTCCACACATAGCCTTGTTTACTCATCTGCCTACACATAGTTTTCAGTTGACTGACATTAAGGAGTTTTCTAGCACCTTCTGTGTAGAGTTGCTTCTAGAATTATATTTAGACATTGACTTTTATTGGAGCTAGACAGCGGCTGGGGTAGTGATGTACCATGCTGGTGTTTAAGATGTACCAGTCTGCCTAATTGAGGAAAGATATTTATAATGCAGTCATATTAGTCAGAGAAATCTGGGTTATATGTTATATTTTGCTTGGGGGGGGGGGGGTCACTTCTCTCCGGGAAACTGTATGAAAAAAATCAGAAGAAAAAAATGGATTCATGATAGTTCATTCAGAAAAATTTTAACTCGGAGGTTGAAGTTGTAATGTAAAAAGAAAATTAAACTTTAAAATTAACTTACGTTAACTTAAGCTGATAGCTTAAGCTGTTCAGTTCTTAATTAATATTCTTTTTAAAAAAGCTTAAAATTAAAAAGCCCAATTTATTGAAGTGTTCTTGAAATATTATATAAAAGAGTGTCTAACAAAGGGTTGAACAGTTAATTACTAGTATTTGTCCCTAATGGCTCTCTTGATCTTATGAAGGGTACATATTAGTGATTAGAGTATACCTGACCTGTTGAACTGTATTAAGTGCTATACCACCATGACCTCTTGGGAAAAAGTATGTTTTTACCTCTTAATACTGGTCAGACCTGTGCTATATAAAGTAAAGCTGTGTAATATTGATTTGTAGGGTCTTTACTACATAGAGCAAAAGTAAGACAACTACGTACATGCATTATCACCTTTATTTCAATTTGAATTATGAATGCAGTGATGGGCCCTCATTTCTGAGTTTTGGCCATATTCAGTGTATTTTCGTAACTAGTTCAAATTTTATGGTGCACTTTTTCAGATAAAGATCCCCCCCCCCTTTTTTTTTTTTTTTACTTGCAGGCTATATAGGTTTGATTGGAGAATGTACTTATATAGTAGTGTTCTATGTTTCTACTATGCAACTAGTTGGCATGCTTGGAATGACCCAGTGTTAAAAATGTGAATTATATATATATATATATATATATATATATTTTTTTTTTTGTGTCAGGATTTATGAAGCACTAAATGCTAATATCATATATAGCACATCCAGTGTAAACAACTGCCTGTCATAGATCATACTTGTCATTCTTCATCTATTTCTATACACCTCTAGTTGGTTACGAAACTGGAATTTTCCCCCCGAAACATTTTTATCCACTGAAAATAAACGTGACTCACTGCCTTATAATTTCATAATGGCCAATGGTTTTATGTTACTCCTGCTTGTTTACTACCCACAGCCTGAAGTCTGCCTACGGTTTACCAGACATCACCGCCTACGCTAATTGTGCCTCTATTCATGTAGTCCCAAGTGTCTGACTGTGAAATGTAACATATATTGCCTTCATTTGTCACAGCGTCATGGCTTAGATATTCAGGATTGATGTTGAAAATAGATGCTCACTAGTATGCTTCAGTTAAACAGCTTCAGTGGAAAAATTATTTAAAAAATATAAAAGTTTTAACCTTATGTTGCAGAATGTACAGATCAACACTTTGACTCACCATTTTTGATTAAACACCTATCTTTTTGAAATGTAGATGTCTTGTTAGATGAATTAAAAACTTAAATTTAATGGCCAGATTAAAAATAAAGTGCCACATTGAAAAAGTTGTACAAACTTTATTTCTAGCCCAGATGTCTGTTTTGATGGGTGAAAGTTAATGGGGCCTGTTGCCTCAAAAGTGTAAAGTTTTATAGCTTAAGTTTAGACTAATGGCGACATTGGCCAATATTGAATGCAGTTGTCATTTCCAAATTGGCTTTTGTTGCCACTTAGAGTAAAAATCAGTTCCAGGACTTTCATAATTTGCTCTAGATAAAAGAATTGTTAAAAGACTGGAAAAATGAGACAAATGACCATAATATTGTTTTTAAAGAGGAAGTTAGTCAACTAAAATCCATAGCAATCTTTGCAAGGACTGATTATTGGGTTGGTAAGTGTTTTTGTGAAAGATGGCCTTGGGGGAATATGAGGGGTGAGAAATGGTGAAGAGATGTGTGTAACTATAACTGCTGTAGACTTGTTGCATGTGACTTAATAGTACTAAATACTTTGAATTGGTTCAATAATATGTATGTCTTTGCTGTACTTAATGGGATACAATGCTTTATGGCTTTAATGTGCAGAACAAAGTGAAAACAGTTAAAGAAGCACTTTTTGAGTCATTTACAGTCAGGTACTTAATGGTTGGGCCAAAATGCACTGGTTGAGCAAAAAAAAAAAAGAAAGTCACTGGTTGAGTCAAAATTGCACTGGTTGAGCCTAGTACTTTTAAAATAGTTGAGACAAAGATGCATTGGTTGAGTCATATGACTTCATGGTTGAGTTTAAGATCAATGCACTGGTTGAGTAAGATACCCAATGGTTGAGTCAAAGATATACTGATTGAGATATAATGCTTGTGTTGGCCACTGTGGCACGAAGTTCTGTAGTCATGATATATATATAACATGTAATCTGATGGAATGTTACACTTAGAAATGGACTTGGTTTAGGCTTAGACCCCATTTCCAGAGATTCGATCGATCTACTTTAGATCGACCTAACTCCCTGGGGGTTCACGCTAGATAGCTGTCAGCCGAGCGGACACGAAAGTTAATTACCCCCTTACAGCTTGTAGTAGGCGGGATGGACATTTAAGCCAGATTATCTGACAGTAATCTAGTGAGACTCCCTGTGAGGATAGATCGATCTAAAAGCTCTGGGAATACAGCCTTAGTATCGTAGTTATGTTTGAGAGGAGGGGTGGGATAACCTTACCGGGATTGTACAAGATTCATACAAATATTGAAACCATATGTTTGACATCGAACTGAAAATTACCAAACTGCAGCAGGGGGAGGACAGAGTTCAAAGAGCGAAATTCCCTTTGAAAATGAGGGTTGTTGTAAAACATGAAATATAATTAGGAACTCTTGTTAAGGGCAATGGCTATGCTAGGGAAGTGAGGGAACTGTGATAAAAGTTTTTTTTTTTAATTTTTTTAAATTCACTTATTTACATTTTTTGTATGGGGTGGGAGGGTAAAGGGGGGAGAAATACAAGACATTTTTGACAAGTACGTATATTGACAGATTAAAATTTTTATTGTCTCCATTTGTTTTTCTCTTTGTTGATAGGGGGAGGGAGAAAGGTTTTACTTTGATCAGACATGTAACACATTGATACTAATTAACCGTTCGACAAACTATTTGAGGCCATTCAGTCCGTTGACCTGGGGCATTTTATTATTGGGAAGTAGGGCAAATATTTTAAGTGAGGAAATAATTACCCTTGAGGTGAAGTTCATAACCAATAACATATTTCTTCTTTTATCCTCTCTTATAGGTCGAGATATTTGGAAGTTTCCGCACCAGCTTTTATCTGCCAACAAGGTAAGTGATTTTGTTGAAATCACCCAGACTGATTCTGCTGCGCTTAGACAAGGACAACTTTAGACTGAAAACAACTGCCTAGTTTTTTTTTTTTTTTTTTTTTTAGCTGTAGACATAATTCAGACTGAGTGAGTCCCTATCCAAAAAGTCCAGTGGTCAGTTATACACCAAAAAAAAAGGAAAAAGCCGGAAAATTGGTCTAGACTTGGATTAAATTGGTCTCCCAGATATAATCACAGTAGTCTGCTGAACTATAAGGGATTTGTCTGAAACATTGGTAAATTTTTTGTTTGCATATAAATATCATAACCAAAAAATTTCTTTTGATGTTTTACTTTAGCGTCAGGAACCCCAGGGAATAGAAATATATATCATTAGTTTCAAACTGATATTTTTGGACTGTTTTCAAAGAAAGGGGTTGGGGGCAGTTCGAAGACTAATTCAAAACTGGGACATTCGGTAAAGAATTATTCACACACACACACACACACACACACACACAAACACACAGCAAAGAAAATCTGAGCGCATTGCAATGTTCTGACAGTCCTATCCATTTAGAAACTAAATAGCTACATAAGCATGTAATTCCTGGTAAAGATCTGGGGTTGTTTTGACTGGCTACATAGTCTGTTTCCAATAAAACCATTACCTAGCTGCCATCTCGGGTCATTCTTCTCTACTTCAGACCCTCCCCTGGGTTTAGATAATGATGGAGTTTGACGTTCTCTGCAAATAAATATTGTCGAAATTGTTCCACATAATGAAGAGGTGATGTAATTGCGCCCTGAGAGTCAAAGGTTAGGAAAGACGCACCCAAAGTGGGGCGCCCTGAGTTTGGTGAGGTGGAAGGTGATTTAAGTGTCCCAGGCCACTTGGGGGTTTTGTACTGGTGGGAAGGAGGATTGGGGGGGGATGTTAGTAAAGAAAGAAAGGTGAGTGAATACCTTGTCAAATGGTGATGCAGACACATTCTTCTAACATTTAGCAATGAGTTCTTATAAAAAAGTAAAGCCAAGTGCATGTGGTTATTGAACTGGAAGCAATCAAGTGCACTCTTAGTATCTGTTTCATAAGGGGTCTGGGTTTTGAATGTGGTGGGAAAGAGGTTTTAGGTTGGGGGGGGGGGGGGGTGCAGAGGAAAGTTCAACTTTAGGCCAATATGTTATTTCATCCTAAAGCAATCAGTGTTGCCCTTCAGTCAGCAATGCAATCCAGTTACACAATGTTGTCTGCCCTCCACTTCCTGCAGTAAATAGAAAGAGGGTAAACTGATCCACCAGCCAGCTCCTTACCTACACCACCACCCTGGCTACCCTAGCATCTAAAACGGCAATATTATCCACATTTCCATGTGTTGCTTGATGATCAGCCTTCTTAGCAAAAGGTTACCGGGGTATGTAGGAAAACAAGACAGCTTCAGGTGGAATGGAACTCAGGGTACAACACTGAACTCACACTTAACATTTGTTGTAGACGGGAACCTTGGTATGGGGTCATTGGTCTGTGTAGGAGCACCCTCTCTCTCTATCCCCCACTCCCCTCTGCAAACACCTGCAGAAATAATTTCTTCCTGCTCCTGGGTCTCGAGTTGTTTATGCATAATTTTTTAGTTTATGCGTATTTTTTTTAACTTGGTCTTTAGTCAAGAAATTTCAGCGGGTAAATGGAGGGTGGCTTTGATGCTTTACAACATTATTTTTTTATGGATAGTGATCAGTGATCTTCTGATTGCAGTGCCTCATGACAAAGTGCAGTTAGACCCCATTCCCATACCTATAGATCTATCTAGCGGGATCAGTCTATATTCGAGGGAATTCTCGCTAATTTGCACTCAACCTAAGCAGTTTAGATGTCAGGGATGCCTTCTGAAGCTGTAAGGAGGTAATTAAGGAGGTTAAAAAGTTCAACACCTTCAGTAGGCATGCCAGACATCTAAGCCGCTTAATCTGAGTGCAATATATTTAGTTAGAATCCCCTCGGAGATGGACTGATCCAGCTAGATCGATCTAGGTATGGGAATGGGGGTCTTAAGTAATCTTAGGAACTCACTTCTTAATTCTTTTTTTCTCCTTGAGGGAGAGGTTGTATTATATCCGAAGCCAGTTTCACAAAAAACTTGTGCCCAAAACTTGGTCTTAACTTAAAGAATGAAAATTGTTCTAAACATTTAGACCATAAATTTTAATTTCCAGGTTAACTCACTGTAATTGAGTTAAATAAAAAATTGTCTTAACCATGTCTTTCTTGCCATAAAACAGGTGCTATGTTGTATTTCATTTCCTTGGACTAATGCTGACACACCTTGGGTCAAAATAGAACTTTTTTGGTTTAAAATTTAAGACCAGTTTTCAAGTTTAAAAGTACCTCTGTGCAGCCTGCCCCAGCAGCTAGATGTAAGTTAATGAAGGGGAAGACGGCAGTCAACAGAGTTAACATTGAGGTAGTGGAGCAGAAGCCAGACTGTAAACACTGCCAGTGTCAAATGTGAAACAACCACGGAGGTCTCTCACTTAAAGTTATACTGTGGAGAGGGAATACTATGGGATTCTTTTTTTGAAATGGTTATATATCGTGTTTAGTCAAAACGAGGAACTTTTTTACAATGAGAAAAAAATGTTATTTAGTTTAAAGCTGATGCTTGTTTGCTATGACTTAGAGATATCTAATGCTGTTGTTGAATACAGGATATTGGATTCTCTGGATTTTTTTTTTATTCTGTTCTTACATGAGACAAATAGTAATGCACCATACAGAGTAAAGAGGGAAGAAAAAATTGCCCATTTAATTACACAAAGCTGATGCTTGCTTACTGTGACAAAGCTTGTAGATTTTTGTCCTGTTTGGTGACATATTTGATCCCAAGTCTCTGACCCCTGGGTTAATGGGTTGAAAGTAGCTTAACACACTAGGTGTGATAGCCACTGCAACTGTTACATTATTCTGTACAAAATCATTAATGAACAGCTGTGTACCCTTTATCAAGGATACTTGTGAACACAAGGCTACTTCACAGGGAGAGATACAGCTGTACCAGCATGTTTTATGAGACTAAATAGTATTATGCATCCTCCATCCCCACCCCACTCACACTTACCTTAGTGTAATAATAACATGATAGAGCTTCTGTAGGCATACTGATACAGCTGTATCTCTGACATATAAGACTCCTTGTGAGACCTCTCATGTGATCAGATGCCAGGTGAAATAAGATTGTGTTCACAATGAAACTATCTACTAGGTAGTTTGAATCAACTCTGCGCAAACCTTTGCTGAATGCAATCAGATGAACAAGCCTCCTTGTTTCAGGCATACTCGTTCTGTATTCTTCTCAATTCCAGGAGGAGGCATGTTAATCTTGTCATCTGATTTCCATTTACAGCTACTAGATGCTGTATGACGTATACAATAAAGGAGTTGGAAACTTGAAATATTTATTTCAAAAGAATATTCTTGTAAATTTTGATGATTTGAATATGTAACAGGTTAATGAGTTCTATTGAGTTTTCTGTAATCAGGGATGAGATTTTTCCGACTGTCAGCAGATTTCCGACTTATTTAGAGCCAAAAATGTCATTGGCCTAGGCAGCCCTCTGGTCCCACACCACATTTTCTGACTTTTTCACTAAATGGCAGTCTAATCCCTGTGTAATTATTTGCAATTAATACTTTGGGTTCATTATGTGCTGTATATTTCAGTGACATAGACCTGGTAGTGCTGGGTAAGTGGGACTCCCTGCCTCTCTGGACGCTGGAGAAGGAACTTCTGGAGAAAAATATCACCGACAAAATGAACATACGAGTGCTTGACAAGGCTTCCGTAAGTACAAGCACAGATGCTCAGACACGTGTAAACTCTAACACGCACAGATGCACACAAACAGGCTCTTGCTCTAATTCAACCACACATGTGCGTGCTCACACGCACACACACACACAGGCTCACACTAACTCTCTCTCACACAAACACACACACACACAGCACCATGTTTCATAGTTCAGTGAAGGAGGGTGAGTTTTTTTTTTTTTTTTTTTTTTTTTTTTTTTTTACATTGTAAGTAAAAAGTGTGTGGTGTCATGTCCACAATGCTGCCTTAACCACAGAAAACCTCCATATTGGGTGGTGTATATTGTTTCAGTGACACCAGGCTAACTAAGTTACACCTAGATTGGAAGAAAATAGGAAATTCACAGTTGACTAGGTCCATGATAATGAGGTTAAGCTCTCCACTTGTTGTAATTTAGTGGAGGTTGGATAACGGTTGTAGTGCCTGGATGAATTGAGGCAATGAAATAGAATACTTTTTAATAGTACTTATGTAACAGATACAGGAGATTTTGCAAAAAAAATAAATTATATTAGAAGCCTTTGAAAGATTTTGTTGAAGTTCCGTAGGAATTTAATGCAAATACAGAAATTTTGTGTATTAGATTTTATTAACTAGGAGTTTGAATTACATTTAAACTGTGTGGTGTAGTTTGAAGATAACGTTCTCAGCACTGCTTGCAATTTATTAACCAAATGCCTCAAAACAGGTGTTGCTATCTTCTAACATCACATCTAAAAACACAGGGAATGTCAGTAAAAGGTTTGCATTACACTCGAACATTGCTGCCCCGAGTTTTCAAATAGTAACTTGTTTCTTTTTAAGTATATTCTGGATGCAACAGAATTTGAAAAGTAAATTTACTTTTTTCAAAAAGTAAGAAAAAAAACTGATCAGTTTGTGCTGCTGGCTCTGCGGGGTGTTCACCACATATAGACCAGTAACATGAAGGGGAAGGGGTGCGGTTTCGTTCTGGTTCTTAGTAATCATTTCCTTCAGGTTTGCACATATACAGGGCGTGCCAGAAGATTAAACTCAGTTTGCAAAGATAGCACATGCCCTTGTGAGGCAGAGATAGTTGGATAACTTTGTTAGGAAGATAAATCGTACATTTAGATTTAAAAAAAGACAGATTAGCTAGATGTATATGTATTGGATTAAGGCTTAGGTGGGAAGCTTTGAGAAATCATTGAAGTTGTATGGTCAATTATTTTTTCCTAAGTAGATTTTGTGCCAGCTGAGGTCAAGTTGAACTCTGGTATATATATNAGCTTTGAGAAATCATTGAAGTTGTATGGTCAATTATTTTTTCCTAAGTAGATTTTGTGCCAGCTGAGGTCAAGTTGAACTCTGGTAAATATATATAAACTGGGTCAGTTTAGTCCGCTTGGGACCGTTTTTGTGGTCATATTTACATGGAGGCTATTTGATTTTGAATTTTTTAAAATTTTTTTTTTTTTTTTTTTTTTTTTTTTTTTTGTTATTTTTATTTATTGTTTTTTCTACGAAATTAACTCAGTTTGGTGTCAGTTAAGGTGAAGTTGAGCCAAGAGTTCACAAGTGGAGATCACATTAGTAATCTAGCCAAGTGATTTAACTGCACCACTGCCACTACAGTCTTGACAATTTGAGTGGTTGATTTAATTTTGTAAGTCGAGGGCACGGTATACGGTGATAATTCAAAACATTTGAACAATGTGAATTAATAAAAACATTCAGGAAAAAAAGTTGTGTAAGTAATACTTCAGAATTTTGCTACAAAAGAAATCTTGAAAAACTGTTTTCCTTTTTGTAGATTGTATTTTGTTGTGAGTGTCTGACAACGATAAATCTTTTAAAAAATGAATGAAGTAAAATATTGCATAAATCGAGGTGTTTGAAATTTTTAGATAATTACCTTAGTTCTGTCAGTACCTCGTTGTCTGGGGACGCAATTATATTCTGATTAACTGGAATTGTGTGGGGTTCATTTTTGAACGAAACCTGTGACCTGATTTCCACAGTGAAGGGCCAAGTGGTGTTGAATTTGTGAGGAAGAAAAGAGCGTTGGTTTTCAAATGGCATATTTCATTGAGTTTGACTCAATGTAAAAATATTGTATTAACTAAGTACACTAGTTTGTATGTATCTTAAGTTTTAGAAATCTTTGTCAGTTGTCTTATGAAATTATAGCCACTAATGTTGTATAAAACCTCAGGCGCTTATGTCATACAAATCTGGTGAAATGGAATGTAAAATTTGTTTTTGTCAGCAGCTCTGTCTTCAGCAGTAAAGGTGCTTATAACCATCCTGTTAAAAATAACTCTCTCTACTCGTGATGTTTCACCTTAAAAGGGGGGGGGGGTCAAAATAAATATATTGATGGATATATTGTAATGAAGTAGCCAGCAGTTAACTTCTAACACTTTTTTTTTGTGTGTTTTACTAAAAGAGAGAACCAAATACCATAATAAATAACACAAATAGAAAAGAAATATTGATTTGTTCTCGAAAGAATCTGGTAAGAATTCCAAAAAAAAATTTTTTTTTTTTACTTACAGTGTTACTCTCTGTCACCAGTAACAAAATGATAATGATTATGGTGTTATTGAAATAAGATAGAATATTATCACTATGTTAAAAAGAACGGATAGAAAAGAGAAAAAAATGGGCAGGATCTGGAATGTGGTAATATATGACCTCCAATTATGTTCATTCATGAATTTTGACCCTCATTTGATTGAAAACAGATTGGTGTGCCAGAACCAATTATTACCCCATTTATATCAATGTGTTCTTAGAGGATGTGAATTTGACCCGATAACTGCATGCCACCATCCCTGCCACTCCCCCCCCCTCCCCCCTGCGTGAATACTCCAGACCTTATTCAGGGTTTTGAATGCATTTGTGAATGAAATATATGAAAGATTGAATTCTAGAAATTTCACAAGCCCAAGAGGGAGTTGATTGCTTTACATCATACCAATGTAGACAAGCTGAAACTGTCAGTCCGATCGGTCATGACATGGAACATTTGTCTGGACCCGTAGAAAATTGGACTTGGTCAGTCCAAAGGACAGACGAGAGTTTTAAAAACCACAATAGTAAATTTACAGTCATCATATGACATACTTTACTAATAAAATTATATAAAACCCAAAGCGTTTTTTTTTTCCCCATTTCCATTTCAAATCTGTCACATTCACAAACAAAGTAAGCTACCTAATCGTACTGGTAGTATCTGTCTCAAACGAGTAGGGTGATTTTCTGTCCAACAAAAATTCATTTGGTCCAGCAAATTTTTCATTACTGATGGTCCAAATGTTTTCAGCATGTCTGCAATGTGACAGTCACACTACAGAAGTCATCATACAACCAGACTTTGGACACTGAGTGAGGTCAGACAAGACTAGAAATCTTTAATTTTAAAAACCTTGCTTCTTTCCTCACTCACCCGCCATTGTAAATTACACTTTACTTGTACCCAAACCTTGAGGATCTGACTCCTTGGTCTTAAGCTTCTATACTTTTAGATGTATAGGTCAAGTACTTGGATCAAGGATGCATGTGTAAATGGATGTTGTTGGTAACTTTTTAATGATGTTCCTTCACCCTTGATTCCCTTCATGGAAAGCACTCAGGATGAGAGGAACTTGGGGGGAAAGCACTTGCTCTCTTTGCTGTTAGTGTAATTTTATAGGTTAAGTGCTGAGACAGCAGAGTCCTGCACATACATCAGTTTGTCCAAATTTGTATTTCATCTTATCAGCTTTTTTGTGTTAAGATGGTAAAAAATTAATTGCTTTTAAAGAAACATGTTTTACCTGTGACATATAGACTCTTCATCATAGGGGCTTGGTTACATTACTTTGTTATCAACATAAGCTCCAAAAGTTAGGATTAGAATGTTAACACATGGAGGCGATTACAATTTCCATTCTTCACATCTTCAGATATTTTCAAGATTTTCCGTTTTGACAAAGAGTCGATCTATGCTCCATAAATAAATCCCAGTCATAGCTCAGAATTTTATTTTTACTCCAGGTCCCAATTGTGAAACTGACCGACATCAAAACTGACGTCAAGGTGGATATCAGCTTCAACATGGTGAATGGTGTGAAGAGCGCTAAACTCATTATGGTAAGGCTACACAATTGTGCTGTCGTCTGCTTTCTTTTAGTCTAATTGTGTACAACACTGTACGTCGTCAGCTCTGACGCATTTGCTATGTTATTTCTGTCGTGTTTAATTGGATTTGTCACTAAATAGCGTTTTAGTTTTTGTGTTTAAAATGTATGCAGTTTTAGATGAGAAAAACATTTTTTGTCTAAGTTTTTTTATGGAGAACTTGACCTTAAACCAAAAATGTTTGGGAACGTGTCGCATGATGAGGAAAAGGGTAACATCCTCCATACAGGCTTTTAAACTTCACATGACCTCAAAAGCTAAAAACTCCTTGTGATGTCATCTCCCAAAACCACCACCCCCCACCCCCACCCCAAAGTGTAACCCCACCTTAAGCACAGTCCTGCTAATAATAGTAATATGCGGGTATAGCTTAAGTTCATGCATATAGAATTAGGGGAGCCTGCCACTTTGTAAAAGTTGACTTCCTGTTAAAATATGTACTTTTTTATTTCCAAAGCAAGGCTGTGGTATATCTTCTTTGTTACAAGTGTATATGTAACTGTGTGTGTGTGTGTGTGTGTGTGTGTGTGTGTGTGTGTATATATATATATACACGAAAGGCTGACTAATATGCTTCATGAAGTTTCTGTCTTCACTTGAGGATCTAAATATAGTTCATTGTTTATACACTAGAACTAAAAACTGTGCCTGAAATGCCACTGTGATTTCACTTCATTGCTATTGTTGTATGTTTAAGACTGGAATTTATCAGGATGTTTCTGCTTGTCTTTGCTATGAATATTTATAAATAGCCCATATTCATACATCACAAAGCGGAACTTGTCCTGTATTGCTTTCATTTGACCCATTTGTATGACAAATTCTGCCATCTTGATCAGTTGGTTATGTTTGTGTTGTTTTCTTTTTATGAAGAGACATTTGTCATTAATATGTAACTACTATTTACCATGCCCTGGATAATAATCAATTAAAAGTTACCATTTTCTTTCATATAATGAAATATGAATTCTCTATATATATGGCATAACAGTATTTCATATTGTGGTTTCAGAAATACTGGGACCAGTACCCCACTTCTACCACTAGTACTACCATAGTGGTATAGATGATATAACAGTATTTCATATTGTGGTTTCAGAATTATAGGGACCAGTACCCCACCCTGCAGTACTTGGTGATGGTTCTGAAGCAGTTTCTCTTGCAGCGTGACCTGAACGAGGTGTTCACTGGAGGAATCAGCTCTTACTGTCTCATCTTGATGGTTGTCAGCTTCTTACAGGTAGGTGCTGACACCTGGTGTCAAGTATACAAATCTGCTGCTACCTGTCATTGAATATTGGTACTTGAACTGTTGCTTTAAGCACAGGAAATAAGAGGGAAGAGTGGATTTTTTTTTTGTTTAATACAGTTGAAACCATCATCTCCCCGGTGTCTTGTATTGATTGTTGTGCTGCCACCTATAGCTGAATATCAGAATTCATGGAATCACATAGGATATGGGCATTGTTAAAGATTTAGGAAAGTTTTTGGGTATGGGAAGGGGCAGTAAATCTTTTCTTAACAATCTCTGTCCCCAGCTTGACCTTTTAACTAGAAATGCAGTATTTGGCACACCAACCAAGCCCATATATTTTCTTTGTGATTGATAATTGATGAGTTAAGTATTTTCTCCTGCCTCTCAGCTCCACCCCAGAATTGACGCCACCTCTGAAGATGCCAATCTCGGCGTTCTCCTCATCGAGTTCTTTGAGCTGTACGGCCGCCACTTCAACTACCTGAAGACGGGGATCCGTATCAAGGGAGGCGGGGCGTATGTGCCAAAGGAACAGATTCAGAAGGAGATGGAGAATGGTTACAGACCTTCTCTGCTCTGTATCGAGGACCCTCTTAACCCAGGTACGTAACAGGGGTAGTGAGAAATGTGTGGCTTTTGTTTGTTTTAAAATAGACCTTGCCTAATCCCATAGGTTTTGCTGACACCAAATTATCAAAAAACTACAACTGTTTGCATATGACTTAGTAACTGTTTAATTCAACTGGAATTCATCAGTGAAGTACCTTTTTATGAAAGGTACAGGTGAAGCAAATAATAAATATCTTCTCTGGTTTATTTTTTATTGTAGGAAATGACATTGGGCGCAGCTCATATGGAGCCCTGAATGTTCGTAATGCCTTTGAGTATGCCTACCTGACCTTAAGTAACGCAGCACTGTCAGCTAACTCTGATGTATTCAAGGGACAACAGAGGTATGTCAGGGTGTCTGGAGTCCTGATAGAAATTCCTCTTTCTTTAAAGATTACAGGTCTTGAGATATTTGTCATTTTCTTTATTTAAGGCTGGTTTCAGAAAAATTCTTTGAAAAGAAAAAAATTAAAGTTTGTGAATACATGAAAAAATTATTTACATTTCAGAGTATGAAAACTGATGACCACAACTATAAGTTGTTAAAGCATATTACAAAACCTTTCAGCTATTACTCATGCCTTGATCAGTATTTCGTACAATGTTGTTGACATCTATGGCGTTAAGTGGAAAAAGTGTCGGCCATTGTCCCTCTGAGAATGTTGTGTATACATGTCTTTACAGTCTTCTCAGTCGCATCATCCGCGTCACAGATGAGGTCGTGGAGTACAGACAGTGGATTAAGGAGACGTACGGCAAAGCCGCGGAAGACGTGGTGATAGAGGCTGCGTCCTCTCCCAGCCCGAGTCCCAGTCCCAGTGCCAGCCCCAGCCCAAGTCACAGCCCAAACAGAGACGGTCCTAGTAAGACCTATGCCAGCGTGGCCACACAGCCACCTGCTAGACCTCTAGTCAAGGAACAGTTAGTGAGGTAAGGCAGCTCCGTGTATGTGTGTGCGTGTGCAGGCCTGCATGTATGGCAGAAGACTTATGTTTAGTAACACAGACAATTGGATATTTTGGTTAAGTGTTTACTATTTAATTGAAAAATATTCCTGCTATTGTCTCCAGGGGTAACCTGTCCAGTTTGAAGGAGGTGGAGATATCTGACAGCGGCAGTTCTATGTGCCAGTCTTCTTCCTCTCCTGCAGCCTCCAGCAGCTCCAGCATTGCCAGTGACACAGTAAGTGGGATCTCTCTCTCTCTCTCTCGCTCACACACACACACGTGTCTCAGTGGTTTTACAAATCTTTCTTCCTAGATCTAGGTTTGAATGTGTCATACATATAAAGTGATGAAAAATTTTAATGAGTTAATAAATAGAAAACAGATAAAGAAAAATAAAAAGCAGCCCTCATATATCATTTTCTTTACAGGAGTCTGATATATCTGTGGAAAGTCCCAAAAGTCGCCCCCCTGCCAAAAGTGCCTCAGTAACAATCATACGGAACAGCAGCATGCCCACCAAGTCTGATGCCTCGCCAAGTCCGCGCCACTCTGCCTCCCAGCCCACACTCACCAAAAAGAGAGACATAAGCTCCGACTCAAGAAGACGCCGGTCCGCATCTGTGACAAGTAATGACTCTGGGCGTGGCGGTGGCCGCAGGACTTCTGCTTCATCGAGCGTGGCTGCACCAGACACTCACAGTGAGACTGTCCTGCCAAAATCTGCAACTGTAGCTCATGGCTGGACACGCACCTTTCGCAACCAATCAGCAATGGGTTCTGGTGGAGGTAACCAAGGTAACAGTGGAACAGGGAGTGGTGGTGGAAAGAAATACAAGTCTTACGCAAAGCGCAGGAAAAATAGTAACGGACAAAATTCTCAGCGCCGCGACAGGGACAATAACAATCCTGCAGAGGGCGGACGGCGGTGATACTGCTTTAGAAGTCTGCCATTTTACTTTGGCAGGCATTGACTTCAATATGCTCTGAAATGTTCTTCGGAGAAATCCATTACAAGATTCCTTGTAAACTACCCTCAGTGATTCAAAACAAGAATTCTGAGCAGTGATGGAAAATTTCTCCGCGTCTGTACAAAGCTCCTCTCCTCTTTACGTAGACAATCCATGTCATGTTACCATGGACAACTGGAGCTTCTTAGAAACTACTGATGGAAGCATTGATATAGGCAGAGGTATAGGCAGACTGCCAAGGTACAGAGGCCACTATAGTGGGTATGAGGAGGTATATTAAGAGGGAGGCATGTGAAAGTAATCAGATGGTGTGAACAGTATGGAACTTCGTCTCTTCTGTGGTAATGATACTGCACGTTGAAAAGATATCCACCGAGGTTTGATCTCGCCTGTTTATGATGGATGACGGCTTTGAGACTTGGAGAGATGAAGATTCGAAATGATGGCTGCAATAATGCAGAATTTATAGTCCTGTGATGATGTCTTTCTATTATAGTATACAATATTACGCAATCATGACAACCAAAAAAAAAAGTTAAAATTGTGAAAAAAAATTCTAAAAATATTTTCCTTCCAGTTTGCATGTAAATTATTGTGCTTGACTTTTTTTCTTTTCTCAAAAAAGAAAAAAAAAATGTTTAAAAAAAAATGTCTAAAAATGGAAAGAAAGGAAAATATAAAGACAAATCTTACAGCATTCCAACACTGGGAAAGATTGTGACAACATTAATTTTGTCCAGGTGTGCTTTTAGTCTGGTAAGTTCAATGTTCAGGTGTGCAATGACCCCTCACTTGTCAGAAGAGATATTTTGACAGAATGACTTGCAAAAAAACAATCAGTTTAGTGGAAGTAAAGTGTTTAATCCAAACAAAAAATTCAAACACTTAAAAAAGTATCTTATACAGCTGAGAAAAATATTTTCTAGGTGCTGGTTGATTTTATATATCCAGGAATGACTTTGCCGAGATTAAGTTCTAGTCAAGAGATTGTCAGAAAAAAAGATTGTTTGAAACTTAACAAAATAAGACTATTGATTTTTTTTTTTTTTTTTTCATTTTTTGAGAATGATTGTGTCTCTATGACCTGGACTGCAGTACTGAGAGCTGTTATAATTGACAATCTTTAAAGATGTTATGTTATGTTACATGGAGCAATAACAGATGGTGGATTTGACAAAGAGTCGCATGTCCAATTTATCTATGAGTTGTCAAGATTATTTTTATTTCATTTTAAGAAGTTGCAAACGTAACTGCAGAATATTGGGGTAAAGAATAACTTACTAAAAAAATTTTAAGGATTTCCAAAAAAATTGATAAAGTATACCTTTTTAATTCTTGCAAAATTGCACAAGACTTTTGTGTTGGAAACAAGGTGAATTTCTAGTTTTAATTTCATTTCTTTAATGACGCAGTCTTTCATATCCTCAGAACAAGGGGATGTGCAGCACTGGTGCCGTCTTGTGAGATGTACTAAAGGAAAATCAAAACAAATGGTGGTTTTTATTATATACTTATTTTTTTTATTATTTATTTATTTTTTGTGTGTGTTTCTGTTTAAAGTATTGAAATATGTAGTATATAATTGATTTTAGTTGTTCTTATGGATACTTAATTACCATAAAAAAGGAAATGTGTACTCAATATATTTAAGAAAAACAAAGTGAAAAGAAATGCACAGCTTCAATTATAACCTTATCTTGAAGAGTTAAGCAATTTTCTTGATTCAAATGAAATGTGGAATTTTTTTTTATTGACCAGCAAGGTTTGGACTTACTCATTTCTGCACGAGTCTTAACATGCAAGATTTTTGCCTAGAAGACTTCAGTGTCTTTTCTGTTTTATGTATAAATGGTGAACTAGATTTTATTGCAATATGTGTAAATGGCTAGTATTATTGTACAGAGTGGATAATGTGAAATATCCACAGTAATAAATAAGTAAAAAGTTTTTTATAGATGTGTTGGACAGATACGAGGCAGGTTATCTAACTTGGTGTAAAAATACAGATGCATCTCATCAAATGTTATTATATTTTGTTGAATTCAAGCACAGACCAGAGTTGTTCACTTTTGGCCAGATTTTGTCAAAGTTGGAGACCTCGTTCCCTCACTATGTGCAATCCAAGTTCACCTTTAATTAAGATTGAAGTTATTTCATTTTATTTAACACATGGATACAAGAAAAGTTTGGACTTAAAATGATAAGTTTATTGGAAACCTTGTTGAGCACTGCTCTAATGGTTACGGGATTTCTGTTTTCAGCAAAGTTAAGGATGCATCTTTTATGGTAGACTAATAATTTTTAACAGTATGGCAATAAAATTTCTCAATTACATGCAAGATATTTGAACTAACAACTGCTAGCAATTAGAGAAATAGCTAGAGAAGATGTGGTATTTCAAGAAAGTTAACTATAAGGCTTTTTATTATTATAATAATTATTGTTATAACTGTGGATCAAGAAGTTTGCTTTTATATGAATAAATGTATGATAGTGACATGTGGTGAATAGAGTGGTCGAATGGCTAAAAGTTGAATATTCTTATACAATCAAGACGTCTCGAGATCTTTAGCTTGGAATGTGAGCAAGATGTGATGTTGAATTCAGCAGAGACGTAGAGTGAGAGGGTTACGTGGAAGAATGTTTTGTCACAATTTAAAGTCCAATAATGTGGAGAAGCATTTTGAAAATATTTTTCTCCAGTTTCTTAGAATAAAGGTTCTTTTTACGGACCACAAATACAGAGTTGTTGTTATCATTTGTTCAGTTGAGGGTGAGAGTTTGAGAACAATTTTATATATATTTGTTTAAAATTGTTTCTGATACACTGGTTAACTGTGACTGGGAATCGTTAAGGAATTTTGTCGGCATTTTGCAAAAAAAAAAAATATCCTGCTGGTTTTTCTTGGAATGTGGTCTGAATGGTGGGCGCCAGGTGGCAGCACAATGGTGTGCAGGTACCCTCTATCAGAGCCACAGATTGTTTTTTCACCAAATATTCACAGATATGTGTCCAGTTTTAAAGATGATGGGACTGTTTTTCCCTGTGACCCACTAATCTCGAGGATGATTACGTAGCTGGTCATTGTTTGCATAACTACCCAGGCACTGCCACTTAGCAGGTCCAACCCAAGCCCCCTTGACAGCAATCAAAACAGTTGCTTGTTCTGATCTTTTAAAATCACTTGCTCTTCTGTGACAAATATAAATAGTCCCTTATGAATAGCTTGTTCCTTCAGAGCGTTCCTTCAAACCATGTGACTTGTTTCAGCGGACGTCTCAGCCAAGACAGGAAGCCCTACTTCCACAGAGCGGACACAGCGTCACAGTATCATTTGCGCGCTGACAGAATTGGTTGCTGCCATCTGGCCAAAAGTCGCAGGGTCGCGTTAGAGAAAAATGCACATATTGAAATCTGCAAGCCTGGTGATGGGTAAACTGCAAGACTGATTTGCTGAGGTCTTTATTTCATTCATAAATGGAGAATTTTAATATAATTCTGTTAATTTGGATTTAGTTGCTTGATATTATTATGATATGTAATAGATAAGTTTAATAAAAGGACAATCGTCAAAAAATATATGCCATTAACTTTTCAGCATTCGCCATTCGGGCCACCTAAAACTACTGGTCCAAATCAGAATTCACTGATCCGAATTAAAATTTTATAAGACTGGACATTTTCCCCAGTTGCATTGATATTTGCAGGAATGTCATAGATTTATATCAAATTAATTTCTTTATCTTATAGCATAAAAGAATCTGTACGACTGTCTTCTTTATGTTACATCTGTTTTATTGCAAGTTTTTAGAGCCTTAATTATTGACAATCGGAATTGAATAATATTCTTCTTAAAAAACAGAATTTGATTTTTTTTACGCAGTCACTATTTTCATGAAATGAAATATATTCACTAGATGCAACCGACATTCATCTCAAGGGTTAATTTTTCCTGCAGTGCTTCAGCTACAGCTTTAAGACCCATATAAAGATCTTCGCCTACGAGTGGGATGAAACGAGGGGGAAGCTCGAACCTAAAAGACCAATCAGCCGTTCTTATACTGGGACTCAATTCTACACTGTAGGAATACTTTATGCCCGCTTTGCCCTTAGCCCAGTCGCGAGAGCCCCCGGCAGCGAGATCTAGAAAAATAGAAAATGGATCGCGTGAAATAGAGTTAATTTCTAATTGCAGAGATTTCAAAATAACATGGTGAATTATAGCACAAATGTGGCTTTTTAACTATACAACTTCAAGTACTTTATCTATTAATTGGGCCATAAAAACCAATTGTATAATTCTTTTCCCAAATTTGTGAGGTCAAAAGGAAATTGCTCTTTAAGACTGGCACCCATAATTAAGTAAAAGTCGCTCTAAAACCCACTTTTAGGGGGAGGGGGGGGATAAAATAGGGAACCCTGGAAATTTTTGAGCAAAAATTTAGGGTGGGGGGTTGAAATTTGAAAATGGCAGATGGGGGGGGGGGNGCACCCATAATTAAGTAAAAGTCGCTCTAAAACCCACTTTTAGGGGGAGGGGGGGGATAAAATAGGGAACCCTGGAAATTTTTGAGCAAAAATTTAGGGTGGGGGGTTGAAATTTGAAAATGGCAGATGGGGGGGGGGGGGGTCTCGAAAAAATCATCTTGGCTACACATGAATTCAAGTTTTTCATCTCTCAATTAAGTTTTCATTTAATTTCTATTAAAGTTTGCGAGAATAATACATTGCGTTTACGCCTTCTCTTCGAGCGTAATATGAAATGAAGCACCACATGGTATGGTATGTTTGACATTGTCCTGTTGAATGCATCTTTTATGATTTATATGAATTTGTTCGTACAAAGTATCAAATATAACTTTAATACATGTATGTATAAAATATCGACAAATATTATCCGATTAAATTTGATTATATCTTTTGTCTTTCTTTTCATACTACCAGATATCATTTATAAGAATGAATGGGATAAATTCTGTAGTATCTATAGTATACTGTTAAATCCCGAAATAAAGGCAGACAATGTCACCTGTTTATACAAAAGCGAAACTTTCCGTTCCAAAGTAAGTTATCAACATCTCTATAAACAGTGGTTAATACTCAAATATAGCACAACATACTAGAACAGTGATACAAATGGTATTTTAGTGTGTATGTGTTGTGTATGAGGAAAACATACATGATAGCAGTCCTGCAGCAGATCCAGTCAAATATTCTTCTCCTCTGACAGCAAGTATGGCAGCAGCGGCTATGTTGGCGATTCTTATCTGGAATAAAGTAAGACAGCCTTCTTACAGAACTATTTGAAAGATGTTTAAATAGACAAATTCTAGGGAATTTAAACACTAGCTCATTAATCTTGGAGGTATACAGTATCCAGAAGTGATCCTAGAATTACGAACCACAAAGTTGGTTTTGGGGTTTGTAATTGCCTAGGTTTTTATTCACTCTAGAATGGAGATGTAGACTGGTAAAGGGAATCATCTGGGATGATCTGAAGTCTTGAAAATTAGCGTTAAATCAAATCAGTATTTAAAGGAGAGAAGAAACAGCTGCAGTAATAATGGTAGACAAGTGAGCGCGCTGCAGCAACGAATAAAAGATGCTAGAATTTATCAAGATA